TGGGGACAATTTTTCGATCCCATATCGGACGAATCCGTTGACATGTCGGCTCTTTCAAGTGTAAAACGTGGCGCCGACATGTCTGACTGAACTGACAGATCTCCACCAATAGAAACACTTTCGTACCATCGTATCATGGTATAAGCGGATGCATGGGACACGGGCGTTAAGGTTGTAAGGTAATTTTTCTGAATGCTCGGTTATGGGCTCAGAAAGTTGTCATTTATACTATAAAATAGCAGGAGAACGTTGACTTAATGCGTAAAAACCCTCATTCTCATTATTTTGCACTAAGGCCACTATTATGACTTCCAACCGAAAATTTATCTGAAATCGCTAGTTGCACCGATTGTCAATTCAGAACGTAGCTCGCCTCGGTTCTCTCACTCGCACCCATGGGAGCCTATGAGCGGTCCACCATGGCTGTGCTCGACTGCGTTCGAAGTTGATACCCGCGTCGCTTAAAATATCAGAGTTTTGATCAACACAGACCAGTGGAAAWTTTTTCGCTTTGCTTATCATCAGTTTTRWGTTTAATTTTATCKGGAACAGCCAATACCAACGAGGGATAAAACCACTCCGCAATTCACAATTCTTCCTGGTATGATGCACACTTTTTCTACCAATCAGGCTTTACATCTCCGGCTTTGGCCTCTTGCTGGCTATGTTGATGCAACGACGGGATGCCTAATAAAAGCGAACAGTAACGGATTGCATCATTCCACCTGGATGAATCCTGGACCGACAAAGCGCTTAATTCAAATCCAGCTGGAGCGTCGCAATAAAAGCGGCATTCCGCAACCCAAAGGGGAGTCATTTTTCTCCACTTGTCGGGACGATATCTTTCAATCATGAACCGCCACAATGGCGCAACTCGATCCAGAAATTTATAGGAAATCGAGTTTTCAATTTATCACCTGGATCAGTCGGTGTTTATGGAAAAATCCAGGCCAATTACGCACGCTGGCGGCAGGTTGGGTGCAATTGATGAAGCGCGCCACGTGTTTAATATGCATCAGAATCCGACGTTGCATCAGAGCCTTATCTTGCAAATGCAATGCAAATGGGGCGAGTGCGTTTGACAGAGCGTGCCCCATCAAGATTCCGCCCCCCCGATTATGGGGAAATTATAATGGAGCACTATGCCGCAATAACGGATAATCCGGACAAATGGAGGTGGATAATTTGAGGTTATGTGCTCGGGGGGAATCACCGCAATCGAAGCATCATTAATTAGTTGTGGTCGGGGGGGCGATCCAGTCATACATCAGTCCAAATACACCAGCAAATCGCCTTTTCTACGTCTGCATGTCAATGTGTGATTTTCAGTATAAAGACGCTATCGTCCACAAAAATGGAGTAAATGTGGGGCTTTTTTCGGATCCGTGTGCGACTTACGGTAAAATGGTACAGGAGTTGAAGCCTTTAGAGGTCTAAAATCCAATTGCTGGCGCTCATAAACCGGAAGCTCATAAACTTCGTTTCGTTACTCGGTTAAGAAGCCCCTAAACTTCCACCGGACTCCTTTGGAAAAAGGCGCCGTCTTAATTGGGTTGAGTGGAGAAAAATCGAGGTCAGGTTGGCTCCTTGAAACGTTCATTCTGAACCATAAATTAGCGCAGAAGCCAGTTTGCATCCGAGCATCATCGGAAAGCCGGTTCCGCTCCGTATTTCAGGTGGAAAATTATAAATTGCCGCATGCCAAGTGCAGTTTTGTTCGCCAGATAAAAGATACTCTGCTTGATGGATGGGCCCCGGCCTGGCTGGGGAATTATTGAAAATTCACACTCCCGACTCAGAAAGGTGCAGGTGCTGGCAACAATCGCATTTCAATTAAATTCGGAAAGGGACCGCAAACAAAGAGTATATTAAACGCAGATGTTCGCTCTGCAGCTCCGAGCTGCTTGTCTGGCCTGGATTGCGTATGTTCGCATCAGAAATGGCGTTGTTTACACGCAACTAATTAATATATCATCCCTTGATGAGCTCTAGGATTTGTCGACACAGCGTATTGAGCAAATGTTTGCTCAGTCTCGTTGTCTTCACTCGAAATAGCATTATAAGGGGACCCTTCTGCAGAGTCGCCGCCTTCGAATCAATCTATTTATTGAAAATGAAGACTGGAGTCACACTTTTTGGGGTAAAAATCAGTCGGAAACTTTTAGAAAATCCATGTTCGCATTAGATTAGGCCCTCAGAACTGGTCATTTGCATACGCTGCCGCGCTGCAACTGGGGAGAAATGTGGTTGACGAGAACAATAGGGGGTCGTTCCACTTGCTGCGATTTAATCAGACTTAATTGCTGAACGCAATTAGTAAAACCATCCTCTATGTTTATGCAATTTGGCAAGGTTTTTACGACTCTCTGAATTTAGCTAAACCATTCTTTGCGTGCATCTAAAGTGAGTTGTCTATAAGCCACCAAAAGGGTTAAATGTTTGGGTCTTTTCAGTCACGTTTATCTAGTTTTTGCTTGATTTCCTCACAAGCAGAGTGGAAATCTTTGTGGCAGTTCACAGCGAACGTAAAAATAATTTTCCAAATTTCGCTTCGATCAAAACTGATGTATTTTAAGCGGTGAACGTGTCAATTTCGAACGCAGCATCACGCGGCCAGCGGGAATGTTGTTAGACGTCCATGCGTGAGAATGAGAGGACCGATGCGCGCTACGTTCTCGAATGGAAATATCTGCTTTATTTAATACCGG